TCTCAAAAGGTTAAATAGATCTATAACACCCTTCAAAAAATGAAGGGTCTGTCCGTTCAGCAGCGATTGTATAGTATCTGATTGATACTACAAAAATTTTATTCTCATTTTCTTACTCTTTCTTTGGAGAAACAACAGCCTTGGAGTAAACTCTGTTCTTAACTTAAATATTGAAGGAAAACTATACTCCATATTTTCATTCTTTCTCCATAATCTTTACCATCTGTTTGAAATGATGTAATTTTCTCATATAACTGATCACACATACAAAGTCATTATTTCTGATCTTGTCTGATAAAGTGAAGCGAAAATCTAAATGCTTTTCTACTTATATACCAGCCACTTCATAATCTGTAAATTATAGAAATAAACAATGGATGACAATAAAAGAAAAAAGAATCTTAGCCCATATTTGACAAGTAATTTAGTATCAAAATTCCTTCACAGGTAAACAAAAAGAAGAACGCTAATATAAATTGTTGTTTTATGTTTATTTGTTTCGTTTATTTTAGTTGGTTTAGTGTTCTGTTACGTAAAAGTCGCAAACAAACATTAGAACTAAATGATTTATATGATGTCTTACCAGAATTGGATTCAGTACCATTAACAGATAAATTAGAATCAAAATGGTTTGAAGAAATACGTAAAGCTAAACAAGAGAATCGAAATCCAAGTTTAGTAAATGCGACGTTGAAAATGATTGGAATAAAGCCGATTCTTGTTGGTTTATTGCTAATACCAAATGTAAGTAATTTAAATTTTGTTGATTCTAGTTCTGATCGAATTAACGACTAGGCTTTGGCTTGGGTGTTATATCAGCATTGTTCTTTGAATCATCTTATCTACACCATTTTACATATCTTGTCGTTTTCTTTAATAAAAACTACTTTTACGCAAAAGTGCAGAGCCTGACAAATCCCATACTAGCGGCATAAGGAACTGAAAAGCTTGTCGTGGTAGTTGAAAATACTCTCTGCTAAATGTATTTTTTTTCTTTGCTGCAAAGATAGAAAAGCAAAAAAAGCCTTATTGCGAAGGTTATCCGTGCACGTTCAATTTTTCTCGCTTAAGTCAAAGGTCGATCAGCCACACTCGTACCCAGCTGCTTTCCTCGTCTCTACTTCTACGGTTTGTAGACAATTTTTTTCTCGGTTTCAGTCATTCAACATCACTAATTATACTAACAAATATTATTTTTTGAAATTAATTAGAATTGTAGTGACTCTTTAAATCTTAGACCAGGTCTTTGCTCCTCATTACAAGTATCGATTTCATATGTTCCAGAAAAGAAAAAACTTTTATTTTAAAAATTCTTACTGTTTGAGTATTAGTTAGAGTCCTGTTACCTTCACTTTTTCGTTACTATTTACCATACCATTACCATGTAAATTTTTTTACCATTACTATTGAGAAGAATATTTTACCATTACATGGTAATGGTAATGGAATTTCTGCAGTAATACAATATATTCGCACAGAAAAAAAATAAAATACAAAAACACTTGCATCAGGTGGAAAACAAAGAATATGTAGGATCACAGACTAGTCTGAACGTTATATAATGTTTGACTAGCAAGGCATTTCTAGATTGAACTCGAGGACTTGGTTTTCTGATATCTTGGTTTACCAGAAATCCTGGTTTCATGAACTTGATAAAACCTCTGTATACAGCACATCAGATTGGAAATTCTTTCAGCTGTTTAAATCTTTCTTCAAATCTGTTCTGGCTATTATGGTCGCCGAGAAAAATGAAAAATAAAGGTGACAAATAAGTTTCGGACCCACTATCAGTTTAAGCGGCGAAGTATTGAATACACAAACACCGCTGCGAAGCTTTGTTAGGTTTCCTATTAGCACATATTGTAGAGTTTTCCAAGGCGAATCGAACGATATATGAATGATTAGAGATTTCTGTCTGTGAACGAAATTATAATAATTTTTATCTACCATTTCGGTTAAAATCGAGATGCCTGTCAAGTATTTGTCCAGTACATCTATGAAGGCAAACTTTTGAGACAAAGTGTTATAGCTCATTAGGTAGCCCTTTCAATTCTGCATTTTTTTATATAAAAACCATTCCAGGACTGAGTGTACTGACAAAAGTAGAATCATTTTTGTCTGCCACTTGGGTTAAAATCGAGCTTCTTGTCAAGTATTTGACCAATACATCTATGAAAGCAAACTCTTGAAACAATGTTATAGCTTATTGTATAGACCTTTCAATTCTGCATCTTTCTATATATAAATCATTTCGGGTCTGAGTATGCTGACAATAGCAGTGGTCAGCAAAAACCGGGCTTAGAACTTTTGGTCAACGCTAAGTAAAATCTTTCCAAAAATGTCTTCTAAATAATATACGTTTACATACCCAGCATCAGTATCAACATATTCACGCCTAGAAGGAGCATGATGTAGACCATTGATCCATGCATAAAGAGATTCAATCAAATGGTAAAAAAATCATACGTTCTCGTGTGGGTCCAACCGGACCCCTGAGCACCCAAGAAGTCCAAAAATGAGAACAGCTGTCAAGAGTTAAACAACAATCATAAAAACTGGGTTAAAAATGATTTTCTTGTCATATAGAGTAAATATGGTTAAAATTGTTGCAGTCCAGTTTGTTGCCGTCAATGATGAAACTATAAACTGCACTATATAAAAGCATTTTTCCGATAATCATCTTCGTCTATTTTTACCGTAATTTTACTGTTAACTGATCATTTTTAAAATTATAGTTAACCCTTTGAGG